AATGCAGGAAGGCAGGCAGACAGGAAGGCAGGCAGACAGGAAGGCAGACAGGAAGGCAGGCAGGAATGCAGGAAGGCAGGCAGGAAGGCAGGCAGGAAGGAAGGCAGGCAGGCAGACAGGAAGGCAGGCAGGAAGAAAGGCAGGAAGGAAGGCAGGAAGGCAGGCAGGCAGACAGGAAGGCAGGCAGGAAGGAACTCAGGCAGGCAGACAGGAAGACAGGAAGGAAGGCAGGCAGACAGGAAGGCAGGCAGGAAGGCAGGCAGGAAGGAATCAAGCTAGAACTAAAACCTTGGAAGCAGAAAGTCACTGCCATTACAGATAGGGAAGCAGTGAACTCTAAATAGCAATCTCCGTTCCAAAGCCTCCAGTTAAAGGCATACTTCCTATAAGACAAAGCACTCTGAAGTACTTGTGAAAAGAATTTTATAATATTATAAAATAGAATACCTACAGTTGTTTTTATTTTTGAGAAGGGTCTTGCGTAGCCCAGCATGGCTTCGGTATGCTCATGGCCATGGCCGGCTTTAGCCTCCCACCCTCCTCCACCCCGTGTCCTGTGCTCTGTAGGCATGTGCTGCCTTGCTGGCTCTTAGGAAGTGCTGGGGACTGAACTCGGGGCCTCATTCGTTACAAAAAGCCCTCTGCCAACCAAGCAAGCTCTCTCCCCAGCCCTAGAAACACAATTCATGCCATCTATTCCACACAACAATCATTAAAATTGTCACAGCCCTAATTTTCCACACACGTTCTACGTACAGTAGGCGTGAGCCTAACATGCCTATCTGCAAAGACACTTCTCGCAGAGAGCCGTTTCACGGCGCAGATCACCTCAGCAGCCAAGAGCGGAAACATCTTCGTGGTATATAAAAGTGCAATAGCTAGTTCTCTTTGGCATCAGGCAGCCCCTTCAGAACGCTCTCACCTGCCCACACCTCTCCACCTCACAGTGGTAGAGACATCCAACTTGAACCTCACCTCCAGAACACTAAAACGCCAACTCCCGCTGGCTGCACCTGAAACTACGAACACTAGAGGGCACTCTGAGCACGGATGCCGCAAAGGTGACCCCAACCCCAGGTCCCTGCTCTCGCCTTGGCGGAAGGCCAGGTTAACAGTCTCCCCTGTTGGAAGGCACACCATCCTTCTACATTAGCTACCCTCAAAACTCACCACCTGCCAGAGCCCAAGTGACTGTGAAAAAGGCCGGTTATCCACCCTCTACTTCCTCCCTCTGCCTTGAACAATGGAGCTAATTTCTTCACACGTGGGCCACGTGCGGCCATCACTGAGCCAGCCAACCACACACACCCAGACAGTCGCTTCTGCTCATTATTCCTGTGCTCTGTCTCTACAACACAAGCTCTTCAAAGGCAGACAAACATTTTGGCGCCATTCTGCACACAGCAATTATCAATACAAACACTGCTGACCTCAAACTGAAAATGTGAGAATTAAAAAAAAACTTTTTTTTTTAACTTTCTAACTTTTTTCAGGAAGTTTTCATAACAAATGTTAGACAGGAAAGATAAATTGTTCTTCACTCATTGACCCAATGCGACACTTAAACACCGCGTGTCTGCCTTAGAACTCCTCCGGGGAAACCTAAGCCTCCAGCACCAGCGACGGGAGGTGGGCGTGTGGGAGCCAGTCAGGAGGGTGCAGCTTCGTGAGCAGGACTCGGTGTCTTTGGAAAGTCCGCAGAGAGGGTACAGCTCAGGGAACACGCCTGCCCAGCATGCAACATCATTAAAAAATACAAAACCTAAGACAGCAAGACGCTCCTGGGCCGCCCTTTCCCCTCCACCTCACGGATTAGATGACTACACACGAACCAGGAGGTAGGCCCTTCCCAGAACCAAGGCCGCAGTGCTTTGGTCTCGAACCTCCACGCTGTGACGAGAAGCTTCCATCGATTGTGGTGGCTGTTCCCAGCAGCCGCAGCTGACTGGAGTCACTGCTTTGAGGACAGTGCTGTGTGCCATTGCCATCACTTACGCCAGCACCTGGCACACTGCAGCTACTTCCCAGAGAGGGCGGGGAGGCAGAAGGGAGAGGCAGGAAAGCGCCAGGTCCTGGTAGATGCACTGCTACTTCAAAGTCAGTCACGGCCCCAGAACAGGAGATGGAGCAAACGAAGGAAGAGCCACTGCGTGGCTGCCTCAGCCCTGGACAGACCCACCAGGCTGCAAGCCTTCTCACGTCTACCTGGGCTCACCTCTGCTCCTGCCAGGCCAGCTAAGGCCAAAGTGTTCTGTAATTCCACTTCTCAGGTAACAAATGTTACATGAAAGGCTAAAACTACCATAACCAGTTCCTAGTTTATGAGAAGGAGGTTGGGCACTTTGAAAGTTTTATATCAGAATCAAGTAGGCTAAGACACTGCTCTTGAATAGAGGGACACCTACAGCAAGACCTTGAAAACCTGGCCAAGTCAGGTTTCCACACGAGGATCTTTAAAACCCACCCTTCTTCAAGACTGAGAAGCTGCAAAGTCTAGAGTCTGTGCTAGGAACATATTTTATGAGAGGACGGCCAAAGAGCTCTCACACAAAGCAAAGGCCTCACATCTGAAGCTTGGCTGGGGTAGGGACAGCCCAGAGGCCGTTATGTGTGCAAGATCCCTGTGTTCAAGCTCCAATTAAAAAAAAAAATCAGAACACCAAAGAAAACCATGAGTTTGCAGCAGCAGACTACATTAAGACAGAGAAAGGCATGTTTATGTAATTTTAAACTGGTCACTTTATTCACCAGCTTAGTGTCCTTTCTGCCGGGAGCCGAGGGTACGGGAATTTAGAGTCAGACGTAGTTACCTCCGGAATGGTGGGAATCCACAGAGAAGTATGTACGTAATCACGCCAGCTGCCCAAACATCCACCTTCAGGCCGTAACTGGAAAACAGGAAGAGCAGGTAATGGTGGGCCTGAGCACGTGCCAGGCTGCTAAAGTGCCACCTTTGTTAGTGTCACAGAGAAGCAGCTGTCCACCGACAAAGCCATCTGCGTTCCCTCCGTCAGACAGTGATCAGTGGCCACCCCAGCCCCGACCAAAGCTCGAAGGACGGGCTAGGCAAGAGCAGTCTGCTCCTTGAAGCCAAGGTCACGGTGTAGGCTACACCTCTCCATCCCCTTCCTTCCTCCCAGGGTGGACTGAACACCCAGCAGCGGGCCCCACGCCGAAGCGTGAGTCGGGCACTCACCCGGTCTCAGCAATGATCTCTGGCGCCACATAAGTCGGTGTGCCACAGACTGTGTACAGAGGGCCTTCAACCACCGTAGCCAGCCCGAAGTCTCCCAGTTTCAAAGACTTGGTTCCGTCTGGGTATTCGCACACCTGAAACAGAAAGCAGCCAGCAGTCACCGTGGTTGGTGGTGGTGGCCCTTGTCCAGCTGTGAGAGGAACCTGGGCTGGGTCAGGAAAGACTCGGTGCTTTTTAAGTTGTAAAAGGAAGTTCTTCTGCTAAGAGTACCGTAGTTGAAGAGGCTGCGCGATCTTCAGAGTTTTGCTCAACTGTGTGTGACTGGAAAGATGTTATTTCTGTCTTTGCAGGGAGGACCTTACCAGGGTGCTGACAAACCCTCTTCTTGTTTACATGCGCAGCCGGGTACAAATGGCCGTCGGCACGGCAGGTAAGGAACTCCCCCGTGCCCAGTGCTTACCCACAGAATCGTGCTCATTAAGCACAAGTTCTGGGGTCTCCTAGAGACTGGCCTGTCTCACCAGGGGCTGCCACTTGCCTTCTGGGCTGCCAGCAGGATGAGTGTTCTGAGCTCTTTTTCGGCTCCATGTGTGGAGCTGAGGATTTGAGCTCAGTGCCTTCATTATGCTAACCAATGCCCTACCACTGAGATTCACCCTGAGCCTAAATTATAAATGCCACATGGGGGAAAACCTCAGAAGCTCGAAAAGAAAACACGCTTTGGGATCAGACAGTGTGAATGTAAACAGGAACTTCACCCAATAAATCTACAGAAAAGGAAGGAAAGACTCAAACGTTAAATACAGGCTGTCAGTATCTGTATCTATGATTTGTAAACACAGAATCAACCAAGTTGCTAATAGAGTGGTTGCTAAGTAAATTATGCTACACACAAATAATGAAACGTCATTAGCTGAGAGTAAGCACTCTCTAATAAATATCTACCAGGAAAGTTATTGAGTATATTACATAGGTTTTCAAAAGCTAAAATCGTACATGAGCTACGATGTCCCAGCCTTAACAAGCACTATGGGCGTCAATGAGAGGAACTTTAACCTAAGTTTTTTATTCTTTTTTACAATGTATTCAGGCTTCCAAGAGGTGCAGGCGTGTCCATGTGCTTACAATGACCACGCGATTGAGAGCAATTTTCCTTAAGTCCAAGCAGACTTTCCTTAAGAGACGAAAAGCCAGGAGATAACATTACGCAGACTTATATCCAAGCGGACTTTCCTTAGGCGAAAACTTAAACTTGCCAAAGTACACCGTCTCTTTCATGTCCATTTGAAGGCACCAAATTTCAGAGAAAAATAGCTGCACAGACCAAATCAATGTGCCAGGCCCTGTTTCTGTATATTGACCATGCTCGCTTGCCCCCACGCTTTACTAATGAGACAGAGGTTCATTTCAACACTACCGACCTTGGAAGGCTGAGCACTGAGAAGGTGACGTGTTCTCAGTCAGTGACAGCATCGCCCACCCAGGGTGGCGACTTACGCAGCTGCCGGCAGGAAGCGCAGCGGCCTACGGCTCCCTAGGACATGGCGCCTGGCTTCACGGGCACAGTGCAGGGCCACTGGTAGGCTCCTCGCTCTCCTGCCCGCCCTCATCTGCTACAGTATTTCTTCCCGTAGGACATTACAGTGTCCTCGTGTTTACCCACAGCCAACACACAGCTCTATCTTCATGGTTTAGCGACAACAGCGGTGATTCTCAACCCTCAACGGCACTTCTCACTGTGTGAACCTCAGGGCAGAAACATACACGAATATGCCAACGATGTAGCTTGGAGTCACAGAGCCAGGACTCCACACAGGACAGTGTTCCACTGTGAACAGCAATGAGAACAGCCTAATGTCATCAGAGTTAGGATTTACGGTACATCTGCTGAAACCCAGACATTAGATCAAAATTCCCTAAGTAACTGCAGTGATAAGAACATTTTAAAGTACAATTTCCTAAACGCCTGCACCATGAGTCAGCGTCTCACTAACGTCACTGGTACTTCACGCTGACAACTCATCAGGGACTGCTTCATAAAACCGAGCGTACTGTAAACGCTCCACTTGCTCCACTTAGAACATGCATGGGGGCTGAGAGCTGGGGTCAGTCAGAAGCCGCATTTTCACCTCTGCTAAAGAATCCCAGACAGAAATGGGCGGGCAACACGCAGCAGCCAAGTAGGCAGGACTCCACAGCTAAACAAGGAGAGAAAGGATGGCCTGGACATTAAGAGTGCTTTGTCTGAGCCATCGCCTCCCCACACAGAAGACGACAGGAAAAATGTTAACAGCCTCTAAATCTTAGCTGGAGATTCTGTTCAAATCTGTGAGGAAAATTAAACAGCACTGTTATCTGCAGGGCAGAGGCCTCACTGCCTTACCAACCGACTGCAGAGCTGGGGGTGGGGCTCGCCTACCCTGGAAAGCGGAGAGAGAGGGAAGGAAACATGACTACGGAGAACACAGCTTCCCAAGGCTTCCTGACAGTTACTGGTATCTCAGGAACTCTGCAGATTTAAATAGTCTCTCAAGCACAACACTGGACTTGGAACCACACTGGCCAACCAGAAAAAAAACTGCTACATGCATTTCACAGGTGAGGGAACAGAGGCACACACCACTCAGCTAAGCCACCAAGCAGGCCTGGCAGCCAGGACCCCATCCACCCTGCCATGGTTTCTGTGTCGACACAAAGCCAAACCCAGGCAGCCACACGTGCAGATTCTGAATGAAGTTGAACAACTGTGAAAACCCCAGCCCTGCCATGTTCAAATGGCCTACCTCACACTGAGAGATGCTCTGTCAAGTGGCTGGCAGAATGCAAAACTGAAAAATGTGAGGAGTGCAGGCCCACATCCAAAGTGAATCCCTCATGCTCTCTAAATAAAACGCCAGGGTAATGATTTAGAAGGACATCAACTATGAGAAACCAAACCTCTTCTCTCCTCTGTCCCCGAACTCCTGGAAAGCCTAAATTTATCACCGGTCTCCCACAGTTAACTATGACAGGGCACAGCGAGGCCGTAACTCATAGCATTAACGGCCACCTCCATGCTCCCTGACACAGCAACCATACGTCTGCCTTGGCAGGGTGTGAAGTTATGCCACTGCTACCAGGGACGGGGATGCAAATCAGACGTCAGAACGTGCTGGGCTTAAAAACTGAATTAGTTCTCAGACGGGAGAGCAGGAGTCGTCTGGGGCATTTTAGTGCCTCAGGCACGTCCTCCTTGAGCGGTGCCATGTGCTGCCTACGTCCAGAGAGACACAGGGATTGTGTCTTCCATAGCTGGTACTGCCTCCTGGAGTCTGACCCCAGCCTGACCACCAGACACACGGAAACTCTGGACCCAAGCATGGCGGTGCGCACAGCCACAGTCCTTTCCTCTCAAGAAGCTCCGATAGGATCGTGTTTCAACTCAGTGCTAGAACTCAGAACTCAGTGCCAGCCTTGGGAACACAGAGAATCACAATCTCGTAATCACAGTACTAACAGTAGTAATGCTGCTGCTGCTGCTGCTGCTCAGAAACAATGTCTCAGACTGTAGAATACCGTCCAGCGGCCACAGCGTGAGGGTGACTTCAACACCAACTACAAGACTCATTCATGTTTTATGTGTACTGTAAACACAGCGGGAAGATACCTCCATGCAGGGTTTTAATATTTTGTATATGAAGTGACATTTCATGGTTTTGAATTTTCCACCTGGGGACATGACAACGCAAAAACATCTTTTATTCTGAGACAGGATCTCGCGTGGTGGCCCAGGCTGGCCTCAAACTCACTGTACCACAGATCTGTGCCACCATGCCTAGCAAGTACATCTTTGGATGCTTCTGAGCTTCAGATTAGGGTTTTGTAAATCCCTCAAAGAAGAAGACAGTAAGAAGAGAACTCTGCCTTGTACCCAGGAGGGTTCGTGCGGCACTGTTCTTCGTTTCCCCTGTAAAGGAAACTGCTCGCGGGCTGTCCAGAGCCCCCAGTGTCCTGCAGTGGAGGACGACAGCAGGAGGAGAGCTCAGTTTCCGGGGAACTGCATGGCGACCGAGGACGTCTGACGGCATCACGCCCTGGGCTGGGGTGGAGCGGGCATGCTAGGCTGATGGTGTTAGAGCCACCTCCTCCACGGACCCAGCCAGCAGGCCTGTCACCAGAGCTGGCTGCACCACGCCTGGGACCTTTGCTAGCCAGATCTGGGCAGCGACCTGTGCAATCATGCCTCCTGGTGGTGGCAGAGCCAGGGCCGACCACCGGCCTCCCTCAGAAGCCTCTATGTTGCTCTGTCCGCCACGTTTCGGAGACACTGTCCCATCCAACAGAGGAGCTCACCATGCTCGAGGACAGGACAGGAAGTTTTACATGTGTGGTCTCTCTCCCAAGAGCATCAGAGGGAGGGCACGCCTGACCTCTCCCTCGACAGAAGTCCTGAAGAGCCTGGAAAGGAAGGCTACTGCTGCTGAGAAGGCCATTACCAAGGAACGCTAGGGTGCACGGCTGCGCCGGCTCCTGAGCTCACTGCTGCGCAGCCAAGGTAGCAGCCGACCAGGTACCCTCTGCCCCTGTGGTGAAGTCCCCGTGGACGGGGAGGGGAGGGGAGGGATCTGACCTAGGTCCTCTGCATAGATGTATGGCTGAGTAGCTTGGTGTTCTTGTGGGAATCCCAACAGTGGGAGCGGGGCTGTCTCTGACTCTTGCCTGCTGTGGGACCCTTTTGCTCCTTCTGGGTTGCCTTGTCCAGCCTTGATGTGATGGTGTCTGGTCCTACTGCAGTTTGTTAGGCCATGCTTGCTTGATGTCCCTAGAAGGCCTACGCTTTCCTGAGGGGAGGGGAGCCGTGGGGAGAGGAGGGAAGAAGGGAAACGTGGTCACGGTGCAATAATGAAAGAAGAATGTTTTAAAAAGAGAAAGAGATGAATGGCATTACCAGACGGGTTAGCAAAACTGAATTTTGAAAAGAAGATAGGAAAGATGCATTGTGAGAACTCCAGAAAGCAGAGGGGCCATGACTGGGCTCGGAGACTCTGGGGTAAGTCAAAGGCTTACAAGAGGAAGAGGTCGGCCACAGCGGGATAGGACGTTACGAATGAGGCCAGGGGAAGAAACGGAGGGTGAGGCTGGCGAGCTGTGACTGCCGAGGCAGGGAGAGCAGCACTCAGCGCCTGTGCCGCTCCCAGCCAGTCTTCAGTCCCCGACAGTGGTCACAGCCCAGCAGGAAGGGCTTCAGCATGGGTTAATGGTGAGTGCCAGGCCAAGTCAGAAGAGAAAGGGTCATAAAAGGTCAGGAGGCTGGAAAAACAGACCGTGACCCATGGACCAAGGTCCCCACGCACCAAAGAAAATACTTTTCATTCTGTAGAGCACGATACACGTTCAAGGCCTGGGGACACAGCATCTCCCACAAAGCTGAGAGGAAAGGGTGCCTCCGAAAGCCTGTGTACACGCGAGCGCGTCTGCTCTACCTCTCTCATGTACCTCTACTTGTCTCGGTTCATTCTCAAAGTTACACACTTTACGGTTCTGTTCTCTTTCAGCTAGCATTGCTGCCGTGAACTTAGAGGTCAAAGGTGCCCCAGACCCGCCTGTATCAGAGTCTTGATGCCCAGGGCAGCGATACTGGGGGGTGTGGAACCATCAGCAGGCAGAGGTTTGTGCAGGGACGTACTTCACTGCCCTCAAAGGCCCCAAGTCTCCTTCCTCCCTTTCTTTGCTTCCTGGATGGTGAACTGGGCAGTTGCCTTGTGCCCTCAGAGCTGCCACCACCTATCAGAGGCCCAAAGCAATGGGCCCAGCTATACTGGACTGCAACTCCCAGAACTCTGAGCCCGAACCCAAGACCCTTTACTCTTTACACACGGATTATGCCAGGCGTTCCTTCATCATAGCAGGGGGCTGACGTGATCAAAGGCCAGTGAAAGCGCACTTTCCAATGGAAAGCAGAGCACACATCCAGCCAAGAAGCCCATCAGGAATCGATGCATGCATGAAAAATTCCCACCCAGCCTGAACTTGCTGGTTTTTAGAGTTTCCCACCCTCTTTCCATTACTGTGGTTTTGTTTTACACTCTAAATGTCACAATTCTTTTGTATGTGATGGTTTTCGTAGTATTACAATCATTCTAAAAGAACAGAAAGAAGCATGAGTTGAAAATGAAAGAGCGGAGACTTTGAACATACCAGAAGATTCTCGGGTTTGATGTCTCTGTGGACAATGCTGAGGCTGTGCAGGTACCTGAGGGCACTGGCCAGGTTGTACACCATGGCACTGCCATCCCTCTCGGTGTACTTGGTTGAAGAAGTAATTGCGTCAAAGAGATCGCCACCCTACAGGGTAAAGAGGAGAGAGATGCGTCGAAACGCCAACAGTTCAGTCCCGTGAGATGAGGGCGCCACGTGAGCTTGGAGCAGATGAAGGGCCACGCACCAAGTGAATGTGAGTGAGCTAAGAAGTTCGGAGCTTGTGGGACACTTTAAGAGCAGATTCCCGCGGCCACTGCAGGCCTGGAGATGACCACCACCCTCTTACCTTGACCAGCTCCATCACCAGGAAAAGCTCAGTTGCCGTCTCCATCTCCTCCACCAACATGATGATGTTGGGGTGCTTCACTCGGCGCAGAATTGACACCTCATTCTCAATCAGATGTTCCTGTCAAAGGGTACAGAGAGGGACATAAAGCCAGAACCTTCTGCTCTGTCCCGCCCCCGGAGGACAGCAGGTCCCAGTGTCCTGATGCCACATGAAACGGTCTCTGGGCACAGGACACCCACACTGTCCTCTCAGCCCCAGGTACAGGCAGCCCACCCGTGGGCAGCTCTCGCCTGGTGAGCAGGCGAACACACACAGTTAGGACTCCACTCTGCGCACTATGCCGTCCACAGGCCGGGGCCAGAGCCGCCACCTCCCTGCAGCCAGGAGAGAGTAACGACCAGGCATGCAGGAAAGCTGGCACATACGCTCCGAGATTAAAGCGTTTGACTGTTAACAATATAAATTTTAACTTCATGCTAAAATTCATGAAAACAAGCTTTCTTCTTCTGTGAGTGGGTGTGAAGTCACTCACCAGATGGCGGCCCCTGCACTTCGTAACTCACAAGTCTGAAAGGCACCACACCACACACTTCATTTTACCTATAAGCATGTCTCGCTGAAAACACTGCCCAGTGTTGCCCACGCTGCCGTGGGCAGGAGCCGCTATGCAGTTAAGTGTGCACTCCGCTACAGCTACACATGGTGACCCTTCTGTTTCACAGTCACACACAGCCACACACAGCCACCCACAGCCACACACAGCCGCACACAGCCACACAGTGACCCTTCTGTTTCACAGTCACACACAGCCACACACAGCCACACACAGCTACATAGTGACCCTTCTGTTTCACAGTCACACGTTTCACAGTCACACACAGCCACACACAGCCACACAGTGACCCTTCTGTTTCACAGCCACACACAGC